CGCTACTACTACTACTACTACTACTACTACTACAGGGTATGGTCGTTGTTTATAGGTAATGTGACCGTGGGGGATAGAAGAGCGAGAGAGGCCAAGTTGATTGAGAAGAACAAGAAGGAGAAGGCGGAGAGGAAGGCTCGGAAGGAAGGCCCTGGCAACGACAAGTAAGGTGGTGGGCAGTCGGTAGGATGATGACCTTGGTCGTATTAGGAGTAACCGCAAGATCCGTACTACAGCACTGATGGCTGCTGCGGCGGACTCGGCTGGTCGGGATGTACGGCGATCGGAAGCGAAGAGAAAAGAAGGGCGGAGCGATGCTACGGCTGGCGGCAGCAAGCGGGTTAAGCTATAGTCATACCCGAGTGGTGAGGCGGCGCATCAACGTAAATGTTCCTGTTTCTATTATACGCTTCTGTTACGAGTTACAGTGTCCCCCTATTGTGTGCGGAAGGGGGGAGGTTGATAGTATGTGGTGGAGCTATGGTAGGGGGACAGCCATTGTGTCGGCATCGTGGTGATGTCTGGACGGATGAGAAGAGGTCAGAAAGGTCAAAGTGGCGCAATGTATGTGCTAGTTAAGAATAGTCATGTTTCGGGCCTGTTTTGAATCTTACATAGAGGACCTAGATATTTGTTCAGTCATATTACAACTCCTACCTAGTGACCATGTCCAGAGAGTTCCGAGGTGATGACCATGAGCCGACTTGGGAGGAGGTGAAGGGCCTTCTTGCCGACCCTGAGGCCCCAGTAGAGAAGCGGTACCGCGCTCTCTTCTATGCCCGGAGCCGGGATGATTCTGAGGCGATTGAGGCTCTTTATAAGGTCTTGGAGCCCGAGACCAAATCGGTATGTGCATGCGTGCTATAGTTCATACCACTCCTCATCGAACTTCCAGGTGCTTCTTCGACACGAGGCGTGCTATTGCATCGGCCAGATGGAGCATGGCTTGGAAGGTGCGTGGAAGCTCGAGAACGTTATGGATGACGTTAACGAGCATCCCATGGTGAGATCAGCGGGCGTATCTTTGGTTCAGAAGTGGAAGATACAGAATAGGTCCGATGGAGTGCAATTTCGGATCATGTTAGGTGCGTCACGAAGCCATTGAGGGCCTTGCCGCTTGTGGCTCCGTCGATTCCCTTGACAAGATTCGTCCCTATTTGACTCATGAAAACGAGGCAATTCGGGATACCGCTACCTTAGCCGTCGAGTCTCTCGAAAGTAATACCACTCCTTTGTGAAATCCCCCCTTCCACTCCCCCCTCAGACCTCAAGAGGACTAAGGACACCGATGCTCAGCGTAGTGAGTTCAACACTGTCGATCCGATCGGGTCCAAGGCCCGCCAACACGCCACGAAGACCGAGGAGGTACTTCCAATCTCTTCATCATGGTCATGGTCCACCGTCCCGTCGTTCAGGCCGCTCAGCGTCTCATGGACCCCAAGGCCAAGCTCTCTGATCGCTACGCGGCTATGTACAAACTACGTGCTGCTACTCTGCCCGGCTCAGTGTAGGCGTCCTTACCCTGGGGTTGTCCATACCACT